ATATTTTATACAAAATCTAATCAATCTGCTTAGAAATGTTTGAAATAAATAGAAAAAATGTCAAGTAAATGAAGTTTAATTGCAGATGAAAAATGGATTAATATAAAAAGATAGGATTTAGTATTATTAGTAATGTTATTAGTATTTAAGTAATTAATATAAAAATGAATCTGCCTGAAAAGGTTGAAATAAATAGAAAAAATATCACGTAAATTAAGTTTAATTACAGATGCTAAATGGATTTGAAATATAAAATCATGTTTTTGCATGTAATCATTACATTTGGTTTATTTACTGGAACGTGTCCATGTTTGTCTCAACGTGGTCAGTTCTCTCTTATGTTTCTTTACTTTTTACTTTAGGGGGCCGTGGGGCTAAATCAGCATAATAAGAAGATTTCATCAGAGAGGAGACCCCTAAATCTGTGTGTCTGACAGGAGAACCTTATTGACTGACTGTGTTTGTTCCTGTCTGATGCTTCCTGCTGGTTAAACTCTGACAGAAACACCAACATGAACCTCTGATCAAACCAGAGTCCAGAGAATCAGAGTTTCTGCTTTTTCCTCCAGAACCAGCTCTGGTTTCCTCCTAAAGACTCTGAAAGTCCTCTAACTTTATTACAGAGCTTCAGGAAAAAGCCAGAAAGCTTCTCCTCTGAACCCTGAAACAGGTTTTCAGTCTCTTCTGAAGCTGTTTTTATTGTTGAACCCCCAAACAGACGTTCAGCTCCAGTTAAAGCTTTAAGCTCCTGTTTCTGATGAGTTCTTACATCTAAAAAGGACCCAAACGCCCCATTTAAGGAGCTTTTTCTGGATCAAACAACAGCTGGACTATCTGTTGCCATTAAAAATATTCTGGTAGCATCCTGACTGAACTCTGACCCCCATCAGTCGCCTGAAGACCCATAAAGCCGTAAACATTAAACGAAGCTCATTTCTGATGTAAAGGGCCTTTAAATTCCGCTTAAAAATACTTAAAATTCCCTAGTTTATTAGAAATCTCCTCATAAATCACCAGGAACTAACTCGAATAGTGGAATGCCTTTTTAATAGGACCCTTGCTTCTTAACTGTCTGGTTTCTTGGTGAGATCACATCTTATTTATCTGGTTATTGAGACAAAGATAAAGAGAGTCAAACATCTCTGAAGAGTCGCTGCCTAGCATGCGTCCCCATCAGCTAGCATTTAGCCTCCTGCTGGGAGAAAACGTGCTGTTTCCAAATATATTTAGTCATAAACCAAACCAGAAACAAACCCTCTCATTCAGAGGCTTTAATATGACAGAAACCGGGGTTTTTTGGGCTCAAACTCAACACTTTGAGGCTTCTTTAGTAGCCGGCTAGCACGGTTAGCTTAGCCGCTCAGACCTGAGCAAAAGGCGGTTCCGGTTCCTCCACATCCGGGATCTTCCTCCTTCTCCGGGATGCCACCGGCGGCATTCGCCGGTACCGGGGACCCGGTGAGCCCGGACCTTTCTGGGGCCGAAACCCGCGGCTGGAAACGGGGGGAGTTTTGAGTCGTGCGCCGTCCGGACCGAAGCGGGTCCTCAGCCCGGAGAGTTTCACTGGCCGCGGTGCATGACGGGAAACCGAAGGGCGGGCTTCGCTTCCTGTTCCAGAGATCCTAACAAACAAAGATGGCCACCGGGAACAGGCCGGCGTTCATTATTCAAACGAGTTTCTATGATTATTTAACGCTTATGCCATAGTAGGTTGATCTTAAAAGCTTTCATCTGAATTGGGCAAAGATTTATTTCAATAAATAAGTCCCGTTTAACACCTCAAACAACACATAAAGAAGTAATCGTTCAACCATATGCTTGATAAACAATCCTTAACTTGGTTTATATCCACAAAATGAAAACCATCGAACGATTGTGCGTTCCTTTACTTAAATGTCTGTTTTTCTGCATCCATACCACAGAGAAACAGGTATTCAAAGGCCTATATTTTGAATAATGCTTTCAGTGCATTGCGTGTAAAAACGACATTAATTATAAATCATAAAAAAAAGGAGTGAGACCTCGTTCTCCGCCATCTTTGTTTGTTGCCATCGTAACCGCCATTCTGGTCGTATCGCCTCCTAACGGTCCGAAGGAGAAACGGTACTAAGCTCATCAGGGACAAACGGCCAATAACCGTAAAGTAAAAACCCGAAAAGGAAAAGTCACAATGAAAACTTTAGGGAATCCAAAAGACGTTTAAATTTCCTCCTTAAAAATATGTTTTTAATGTAAAATGCAGTTAAACTCTGCGGCACAAGATGGCGGCATTTCACCGGAAACCCCGGTCAAAGCGCAACGAAGAAGAAGAAAAACATAAGAAGAAGAAGAAGAAAAGCGGGATGTAAACAAAGCCGGACCCTGAGCTGGTAAATTCAGTTTTAAAGGAAGATGGAGACGCTGAGCAGACGGAACCTGGACAGGATTTACTCCGCGGTAAAAACAGAGATAAAAAACTCTGACTTTATTTAAACTCTGTTTCCGGTTATAATCCAGCTCAACGCGATGGAGCCAAACGACGACCGGATTCTTCCAGAAATGGTCAAATCACGCCAGTTTTAGGCTAATTTGTCTGTTTTTACCCG